GAAACCCATCATACGCATTTTTTATACATCCCTTTTGACCGCGTTTTAACCTAGCCGTGACCCCGTACACAAATTTGCTTAATGTGCAATAAAAAGTTGCCGTACCCGACCCATTGAATAGAGCCGTGTTGCGTTTTCGGGTCTCAAAAGAGCCGCGCCGCCGACAAGAGAACACGAGTCGAGATCCGCAGATGTGTCACTTGTAAACCCCCCTATCAGCTGGGTGTAGGTGTATGGTGACTTTAGACAATACACCAGCCATAACGAGACAGCATCGCGTAGGTCATTTTTCACAAATTAATAAACCTAGTCGTGTTTAGGCTCATTTTGAAGCTCGAAATGCGGCAAATTCAATAAAAAATGTTTCGCTTAGTTTGTCTGAATACTGACCAAGTTAAGACCCCTTTTACAGCTTGGTCCAAAAAAAACTACGAAAAATTCAAATTGAACAGAATCTAGCCGTGTTTATACTCATTTTGAAGCTCTAATCAAGGCAAATTTTTATCTTTCAAAAATTTTCTGAAATTTTCAGATTTTTTCAGTCAAAAACTCAAAACACTGAAAATTTCCAGGCCGCCAACCCACCGGGCTCGACCCTCCGAAAATGGCAAGAGAAACTGCGTAAATCAATGGGGACTGCACTTCCAATGGTAAAAGGACGTGGATTTCTACAGTATACCTTTGGTTTTCTACCGTTTCGACGACCCATTAATACAGTAATCGGTGCGCCGATTACTGTAGAAAAAACGGAAAATCCGACGAAGGAGCAAATTGAAAAATTGCATGAGCAATATGTTGAGAAACTGGTGGAACTATTTGAAGAGCATAAACAACGATTTGGAATTTCTAAGGATGTCAATTTGGTTTTGAAATAGAAAATATATTTTTGGAAATAAGTATGAAATTTTGAGAAAATATTTTCACATTTTTTTAAATTGAATTATTGTCCCTTTTTTAATTTTTAAACATTAATAAAAAAATTTTTTAAATGCTGAAATTCATTTTAAAAAAACTCAAAAAAGATTGGAATTTTACAATAAGCCAATTGTGAGCGAAACGATAATTATAAATACATCGAGTTTTAAAGATAAAAATGTAAAAATTTCAAAAATCAACTTTCCATAAAACAAAACTGATCGAACTACTGTAGGTTTTTAAAATCCAGGTTTTTTTTCAAAAATACAGAAAAACAGTCCTAACTTTGTTCATTGCCTTCCATCTTGAATGAAAACTTCATTTTCTTAATTTTCATGACAAGAGCTTCAAAACGAGTACCCACACGTCTGGGTTGAACTATTTTCACAATTTCGGATTCCTATGCGCCTTTAAAGTCGAAAAATCAAAATGGGCGGAGCCTAGTCGTGTTTATAATCATTTTGAAGCTCTGAACGCGACAATTTTGAAATTTTAATTTTCAAATTTTTTGGAACAAAACTGATCGAGTTACGGTAGATATAAAGGTTCTCGGACCTATCAATGGCTAGGCTACAAGAAAGAAAAAATGTGTAGATCGAAAAGTGTAATTTTGTAGTTTGTAGTATACATTCTCCTTCTTCTTCTTTTTATTACACTGTGTACCCCCTTGTGTACTCTGATCCTCCCAAGGTTCCTTCCTTTCTCTAATTCTCTTCTCTCTCTCTCTCTCACTATCTCGTCTCATCAACGATTTCACGTCCCACTTGTCATCAGTATTTAGTGGATGTCAAAAAAAAGAAAATTGTTTTTGGTTTCAAACATTTTTTTTTCAAAAATTAATTTTTGGAATAACCGTAATCATTCTGGTAGTTAAAAATGTCAAGATTTTAATTTTCCAATACTTTCGGCGTTTGCATACTTTTGAAAAAGTAGTATTCCAACTTTTCGAACAGGACTTCCGGCCCTATTTTTTAATTGTAGAGATTTGAAAAGTGAAAACTTAAATTTGCAGCGTTTAGAGCTTCAAAATGAGTATAAACACGGCTAGACTCCGCCCACTTTGATTTTTTGACTTTAAAGGCGCATACGGGGTCCGAAAATTGGAATTCAATGAAAGTAGGTCATGATTATACTCATTTTGAAGCTCTAAACCAGGCAAATTGAATGCTTTCATTTTCTCAAAATTTGAGCAAAAACTGAGCAAGTTACGATAGTTTGAAGAAAAGAAGGCTAGAGCGCCAGAGAAGCCAGACACACTGCGTCTCTAGCCGTTAAAGTGGGCGGAGTCTAGCCTTGTTTTTACTCATTTTGAAGCTCTCAACGCGCTAAGTTTAAATATAAAGTCAAATACATAAAAAAAAACATTCGTCAAAAAAAATTATGGCAATAAAAGTACAAGAAAGTTGGAAAAAATTTTTTGCAAAAAAATTTCAAATTTTCTCAAAAACCAAGTTAATCTATTTCAGCACCAATTTAACATCCTTTTCAACTCCAAATCGTCCTTTATGCTCTTCAAATAATTCCGTCAATTTTTGACAATAAATCGAGTGAAGCTCATCAATTTGCTCCTTCGTCGGATTTTCCACCTTTTCTACAGTAATCGGTGCTCCGATTACTGTATCGATTGGTTTACGGAATGGTAGATAGCCAAAAGTCATCTGAAGGAATCCACGTCCATGGAAAATTGGATAGGAGATTCCGAATATGCGTTTCGACCAATTTTGGAAATTTCGAAGTTTCGAGCCAATCGGATTGTCTATCTGAAAATAGGTTTTTGAAAAAAAAATCTCAATTATTCGAATTAAGTTTACTGAGAGCTTCAAAATGAGCCCAAACATGGCTAGAATAGGTGAACTTTAAATTTTTCGTTATTTTTTTGGACCAAACTATAAAAAGGGTCATACCTTGATAAGAATTTGTGTAAACCGGATGAAAATTAATTTCCTGAGTTTGTCACGTTTAGTGCTTTAAAATGAGCCTAAACACAACTATTTTCTCTCAATTTCAAGTTTTGACCTGCGCGTTGCGGTCGCGTCGCGGTTGGTAGGGCAAAATTCAAAATTGAGCTAGCCTAGTCATGTTTAGGTTCATTTTGAAGCTCTCTATTATCCAAATCGATTCATCAAAATTGCACAAAAGCTAAGCAAGTTACGGTAATTTCAAAAATGGCAAGAGTGCAGAGAAGCGAGACGCACTGCGTCTCTAACCGCCAAAGTGGGCGGAGTCTAGGCATGTTTATACTCGTTTTGAAGCTCTCCGCGCGCTGAATTCATATTTTGTACTCAATTTATCTAAAAACCTACCTGTTCAAAGACATCATTCTCTCCAAACGAATAAACTGGCACCAAATGTGCTCCAGTGAGCAATGCCTCTCTTACAAAACCTTTTCTCGATGCCAGCGTCAAAACATGATATCCAGGATGTGCATCCAATGCCTCTTCAGCTCCTCCAATCACCAAAACCACGGCCCGCCCCTTGTCTCCAGATTTATCCAAAACGTATTCAATCGATTCCCGAGAGCAGTCGATTAGGCCAGTCAGCAGGAGGAGTTCACGACGAATCGCCATCTGGAATAAGTTGAAAATTTGAAATATGAATGCAGCTCGTTAAGAACTTCAAAATGAGCCCATATACGACTAGACTCCGCTTTCTTTGGGTCAGAGACTTTGGGTCAGTGTGTATCATTTCTCTGCACTCTAGCCTTTCAAACTACCGTACCTTGCTTTGTTTTTGCTCAAACGCTTCAAAAATAAAAGCATTGAATTTGGATTATGAAGAGCTTTCAAATGAACCCAAACATCACTAGTTTTGGTAAATTTTGAATTTTGACCGGTGCGGTGCGGTCGCGTCACGGTTAGGTCCCATTTCATAATAGACCCAACCTAGTCATGTTTTGGCTCATTTTGAAGCTCTAATCGCGACAAATTCGAAAATCAATGTTTCAACCGAAAAATCCTGAAAAGTATCGATTTATGACGAATTTCGAAAATTTCGGAGTTTTAACACATCCGGGATTTGTAGTCATCCGGGATCTTTCGAATTTTCGAATTTTTTGGATTGAATTTAATATTTTCGAGATTTTCAAGATTTCAGTTTCAAAATGAGCCTAAACATGACTAGGTTTGGTGAACTTTGAAATTTTCAGAATTTCTGCACCCCTATGCGCCTTTAAAGTCGAAAAACCAAAATGAGCGGAGCCTAGTCGTGTTTATACTCATTTTGAAGCACTCAACAAGACAAATCGAATGCCTTTATTTTCATAGAGTCTGTGCAAAAACTAAGAAGGTTACGGTAGCTTTTGAGAAGCTAGAGTGCAGAGAAACGAGACACACTGCGTCTCTGGCCTCAATCCTCAAGGTTAAAGGATTCTAGTCGTGTTTATACTCAGTTTGAAGCTCTTTTTATACTAAAAACATTGATCACCTTGAAATTTAACGCCAGTGTGCATAAATTCCATCGAATCGATGGGAACTTTTCATAGATTCCAGTTCCATTTGTTGCGAAATTCGCCCATGCAGCCATTGCGATAATTCCATGGGGATGACAGCCGATCAGATAGTTATGGTCCGGTGATAATTCGGCAGTTTTATGAAGTTTAATGGGGAAGTACTGGGCGAACCAGTCGTTGACACGCCATCTGGAACAATTTGGAAAATTTGAAAATTTTGAAAACTTAAATTTCTGAATTTCTGAATTTCTGAATTTCTGAATTTCTGAATTTCTGAATTTCTGAATTACTTTCGAACCCATTCACTTGCATATCCACCTCGTTTCGGAGAATTGATGTCGTAGAGGTACCAACACGCGTAGATCGCCAGAATGTGCCATTGGAAGGTGAAGAGCTAAACAAATTTCAAAACTTCTTGAATTCTAATTCTACCGTAGCTCAATCAGTATTGTTCTGACAGGCTTTAGCCTTTAAAATTTGAATTTATTGCGCCAAGAGCTTTGAAACAAGCCCAAACACGACTAGTTTTCCTCAATTTCGAATTTTGACCAGAGTATTGTGGTCGCGTCGCGGTTTTTAGGCGAAAATTCAAAATGAGGTTAGATTAGCCGTGTTTAGGCTCATTTTGAAGCTTTCGACGTGCTGAGTTCAAAATTTTAACTTTCATCTCAAAAAGTTCAAAAATTAGAGAGTTAGGCAGCAAGTGAGATAATTCCAAATTTTGGAATTTTCTATGGAATTTTCTATCAGTCATAACTCGGTAATTTTTCGAAATTTCCGGACAAAACCTAGTTATTCCAATTTATTACGATTTCAGCTTTTAAATGAGCCTAAACACGACTAGTTTTTCTCAATTTCGAACTTTGGCAAGAGCGTTGCGGTCGCGTCGCGGTTGATAGGTCAAAATTCAAAATTAAGCTAGAGCGAAATTTTTAGTTTTCAAAATTCAAACATAAAAAATGCGACCGCCAGAGCTCAAAAATTCCAAAAAATAACGAAAAATTCAAACTTCGCCGAACCTGAGCTTGTTTATACTCATTTTGAAGCTCTCCATGAGCTCAATTAAATTTTAACTTAACTTGTAAAACTTCCAAAAACTCACCAAGAAAAATGGTAAAATAGTGACAAACAATCCAAGTGGATAGGTGAGAACAAAGTGGTAGACGACGCCAAAATACGTTTTCTTTCGTTCAATCGATGAGAAGATGTCCACCCATTCGACGCCGAAAAATTTCGGCATTTTCTGGAAGATGCTGGGATTTAGGGGGTTCAAAATCTTGGAAAAGTTGAGAAAAATTGAAGAAAACAGAGGAAAAATGGGGAAAATGCGGGCATAACTCGCTTAGTTTTCCGAATTTCTGCAGGAAACTAAAAACTTCGAATTTCCCGCGTTTTCAGCTTCAAAATGAGTATAAACACGACTAGGCTCCGCCCACTTTGGATCAGAGACGCAGGGTGTCTCGTTTCTCTGCACTCTAGCCTTTTAAACGACCGCAACTTTCTTAGTTTTCAGTTAATGTTTGCTTTAAATTAATCATTTTATTTGTTATGTTCACAGCTTCAAAATGAGCCTATACACGACTACGTTTGGTAATATTTGATTCTTCACATTGTCGTGGTGGGACCCAAAATTTTTCGAAAAATTCGATTTCTATCGAATATAGGCATATTTCTACTCATTTTGAAGCGATAAACAAGTTAAATCGAACACTGTTATTTTCATAAAATTTGAGCTAAAACTAAAAAAGTTACTGTGGTTGGAAGAAAAGAGAGGCTAGAGTGCAGAGAGACGAGACTCGGTGTGTCTTTGACACCAAAGTGGGCGGAGCCTAGTCGTGTTTATATTCATTGTGAAGCTAGAAACGAGTGAAATTCGAATTTCAAAAAACAAATATGACCAGTCATTCATGAAGAAAGTTATGGCAAAAAATAAGTTTTGAAAAAAAATGTTTGGAAACAAAAACAATTTTCTTTTTTTGACATCCACTAAATACTGATGACAAGTGGGACGTGAAATCGTTGATGAGACGAGATAGTGAGAGAGAGAAGAGAATCAGAGAAAAAAATCGGGGGATCAGAGTACACAAGGGGGTACACAGTGTAATAAAAAGAAGAAGAAGAACGATAATAATAAGAAGAGGGAAAGGTACAATGTACCCCTTTTCTCTGTTCTCCCACCGAAAACACACACTACAAACTACAAATTACACCTTACACTTTTTGATCTACACGTCCTTTCTTCCTTGTAGCCTAGCCATTGATACGTCTGAGAACCTTTATATCTACCGTAACTCGATCAGTTTTGTTCCAAAAAATTCAAAAAATTGAAATTTTGAATTGGCCTTGTTGAGTGCTTCAAAATGAGTATAAACACGACTAGGCTCCGACCATTTTGATTTTTCACTTTAAAGGCGCATAGGAGGTTCCGTAATTTCGAAAACCGTCCAAACTAGACGTGTGGGTACTTGTTTTGAAGCTCTTACCATACAAAATTAGAAAATCTACATTTCGTGAAATTCGAGCAACAATTTAAAAAGTTACGGCTGTTTTTCCGAATTCTTGAAAAATGGGATTTTTGAAAATATACAGTAACTCGATCAGTTTTGCCTTGTGGACCAAGGAAGTTTCGATATATTTATAGTGACCGTGTAGTTCGAAAAAAAACAGCATACTGTCTGCAATTTTTGCAGAAATTTAAAAAAAACCGAAAATTCTTTTGAAACTTTTTTTTTTTGGAAATTTTTTCTGCAAAAGTTTTGAGCTTTTGCAAATTTTTGACGATAAATTTTTTAGGATTTTTCGAATAAAAATTCTGAAAAAAAACGACTTTTGTTAGAAGGAGGAAGTTTAAATTTTTTCGAAAAAAAATTTATTTTCGAATTTCTTGTATTTTTTCAGCCATAATTGTCTTGATGAATGGTTTTCCCTATTTTTGTTTTTTATACTGAATTCTGAATTTCGATCGAAATTTCTGTTTTTTATGAATTTCTGGCGTTTAGCGCTTCAAAATGAGCCCAAACACGACTAGTCTAGCTCAATTTTGAAATTCGGCCTGCCAACCGCGACGCGACCGCAACGCGCTGGTCAAAATTCAAATTTCTCCAAACCTGGTCGTGTTTATACTCATTCTGAAGCTCTCAATGTCCTCTTCTTGATTTTGCGAGTTCCAGAGTTTCAAATTGCTCAGCTTAAGTGAAAAATCGATCTTCAAGTCGAAATAATAAATTTTCATGTTGAAAAAATTGATTTTTTTTTCAAAAAAATAACTATAATTCACAAGTAAACGAAAGGAAAATAAACAAAAAAAGACAAAAATTGATATTTCAGATCAAAAAATTCTTGAAAAGAGATCATGATTGATAGGCTTCAAAAAAGGAGAAAAAAGTCAATAAATTATAGAAAAATCAATAAATCGATAATTCAAAAAAAAATCAAAATGGTCCACTTCTAGCCTCATTGGTCTCTCTCAATGTCCGTAGTGTTCGTTTTGTAGTCACCAGATCGATTCCTTGGGCTTCTCTGGAAATTTTTGAGAATTTCAGGGAAAACAAATTCGAAAAAAAATCGATAATGTTAATTGGGGAGTTGCTAAGCATCTAGAAAATCTAATTTCAGCCGAAAAAAACAGAAAAAAATTCTGAAAACTTCAAAAAATCTACCAATCCTTACAACTTACTCAAGGACAGCACAGGGGACAGTCATTTCTGAATTTCTTGGGAATTTTTTTTTCTAAAAAAATCAAATTAAAAATTCTTACAGTTTCGAATTCAGCGTCACAATTTGACGATGCGCTTCGCGGCAGCGATCTTCGAGTTGCTCATTTTCCGCAGCATAGGCTTGAATTGTCGAATGGGTCTGGAAATAACAAATTCTACTCTTAGAATTGAATTCAGCGCGTTTTGAGCTTCAAAATGAGCCTAAACACGACTAGTCTAGCTTTATTTTGAATATTGTACTACGCGTTGCGGTCGCGTCGCGGTTGGCAGATCAAAATTCAAAATTGAGCTAGACTAGTCGTGTTTGGGCTCATTTCAAAGCTCTAGACGTGATGAGTTCAGAAACGAGAACTTAATTCAAAAATGTTCGAAAATTGGAAAACTAGACCACAATGAGGAAAATTCCAAAATTTGAAAATTTTGTTTTTCTGTCATAACTTGGTTAATTTCCCGATTTTTCGATTAAAACTTCAATTTTCTATTTTTTCGCGTTTTCAGCTTTAAAATGAGCCTAAACACAACTATTTTCTCTGAATTTTGAGTTTTGAACTACGCGTTGCGGTCGCGTCGCGGTTGGCAGATCAAAATTCAAAATTGAGCTAGACTAGTCTTGTTTAGACTCATTTTGAAGCAATTGGAGCGTTGAGTGCAAAAAAATAAATTTCATTTCGAAAAGTTTTAAAAATTGGAAAGTTAGACTACAATAAGGAAAATTCCAAAATTTCGAAATTTTTGTTTTTTTTGTCATAACTCGGTAAATTTTAAGATTTCCCGACTTAATCTATAATTTTCGATTTTTTCGCGTTTTCAGCTTTGAAATGAGCCTAAACACGACTATATTTGGTCAGTTTTAAAATTTGACCAATGCGACGCGGTCGCGTCGCGGTTAGCAGGTCAAAATCCAAAATTGAGCTAGACTAGTCGTGTTTAGGCTTATTTTGAAGCGTTGAACTCGAAAAACTCGAATATCAAAGTTTCGTTCGGAAGTTCCCGAAACTAATCGAGTTATTATGAAAATTCAAACTTCGAAGTGCTCCAAAAATTAAAATTGGTCATAACTTGATTATTTTTCAGAATTTTGATCTGAAATTAACATTTCTGGTGTTTCCTTGTAAAGCTCTTCAAAATATGCTCAAACACGACTAGTCTAGCTCAATTTAGAATTTTTGCCTGAGCGTTGCGGTCGCGGTGCGGTTGGTAGGTAAAAATTCAAAATTGAGCTAGCCTAGTCGTGTTTGAGCTCATTTTGAAGCTCTCGCTGAGCTAAATTCAAAGCTGCTGTTTATTCTCAAAAATTTGGTCCTTACATTTCTAAAAATGCCCTCAATTTCGTGTAGCTCCGCGGTCAGCGCTTCACACCGTAGTCGTTCCATCGCCAGGTCCGTCGACGTTCGAGTCAGATCCGATTCGCACTGCGACGCTTTCGTTTCAGCTTTTCCCAGTTTTAGCTGAAAAAATTCAAAAATCAGAAAACATTTTTTTTTTCAAAAATTTCAGATTTTTTTTTCTGAAAATCCGAAAAATGTGAAATTCCAGCACTAAAACAGTCTGAAAATGGTCTAAAAAAGTTGCAAAAAGATAATGCCCCCGAGTGGAATCGAACTCGGGTCGTCAGATTGGTAGTGGAACTTTTTTTTAATCCCACTGAGCCGCTTGTGCATTTTTCGGAAAATCGCTCAGAAACACTAGAAAAAAGAGATTTTCATGTTTGGGGTATTTTTAGGGCTTTCTCCCAGCTATTTTTAGCCTAGAAATATGGTTTTCAGCGGACTTTGAAAAAAAAATTTTTTTGAAAATTTTTTGAAAATTTCCAAAAAAAAATTGTTTTTCAAATTTCCAAATTTTTTCAAAAAATGAACCTTCAACTCCTCCAATTGCTCATCCTTATCAATAATCAGCGCTCTGCTCTTCTCCAAATCCTCTTGCAAACTCTCCCCAATCTTTCGTTCCCGCTCCAAATCGATAATCAATAGTTCATTCTCGCCGATCAGCTTCTCCAAAAACTCCGAATCTGATTTTTCTCGAATTGTCCGCGCTTTTTCTCCAATTTCTTGCTCTTTTTGGAGCTTCGATCGATTTCTAGACTGCTCGAATAGCGAAATCGATGCCTCCTCGTCCGATCGATAATCAAAAGGGGCGTGGCTTGTGGTAGGTGTGCCGCACAGGTCGTTTTCCAGGATTTTCGCCAGCTCCCTTGATGCGAATTTCGCTTTTTTGTACTTTTTCTCCAAATCTTGAAAATTTGCCTGCGTTTTCAGCTTTTCCCTCAACAAATTGTCCATTTCCCGGGACATTTCTGCTAGGAGCTCTTGTTGCTCCAAAAATCGAGATCTAGAGGTCCTCATCTCTTTTTCCATCTCTTGAATTTGTTTCTTCAAAAGTCCCATTTCCAAATGCTCGTTTTGAAGCGATTTCAGCCGCTCGATTTCCAGATTTTGAGATGCAATGGTGCGATTTGCTTTTTCTGGAAATAGGGGTTAGTAAATATCGGAAATGTTATCAGAATCGTTTCTAGCTTGCTGAGAGCTTTAAAATAAGCCTAAACATGACTAGTTTAGCACGATTTCGAATATTGACCAGCGCGTTGCGGTCGCGTCGCGGTTAGTAGGTCAACATTTGAAAATTGAGCTAGACTAGTTGAGTTTGGGCTTATTTTGAAGCTTTTCACGCGAGAAACATGAAAATAGATGTATCAAATTATTTGGAGCAAAATTGGTCAAGTTATGGCTATTTTACAGTTTGAACTTTAAACAAATTTTAGAATTACGGTCTCATTTTTCATTTTAAGTTATTTGAACCAGAAAAATCGAAATTGCCATGTTGAGAGCTTTAAAATGAGTCTGAACACGGCTAGTCTAGCTCAAGTTTGAATATTGACCAGCGCGTTGCGGTCGCGTCGCGGTTGTTAGGTCAAAACTCGAAATTAAGCTAGCCTAGTCGTGTTTAAGCTCATTTTGAAGCACGAAACATGAGAAAGTCGAAAAACTCAATCTCATTTCAAAATTCGGAAAAATAATTGAGTTATGACAAGATTCGTTTTTTTTTCGGAAATAAAACTTTTTGGAGCCATGGCGGTCCCATTTTTTATGGTAGCACTTTCATACCGGAAAATTTGAATTTGTAATGTTAAGACCTTCAAAATGAGTCTAACCACGACTAGGTTCGGTTAATTTTGAACTTTGGCAAGTGCGTTGCGGTCGCGTCGCGGTCGGTAAGTCGAAACTCAAAATTGAGCAAGACTAGTCGTGTTTGGGCTCATTTTAAAGCTAATCGTTTTTCAAGTACAACCATTTTGGGATTAGCAAAATACATCGAAAATACGAAAAGATACGGAAATTTCAAATTTCCGGAATATTTCCTAAAAATTGATTTCTTAATAACTCTGTAATTTTTCGAAACTTTGAAACTTGTATTTCTGAGTCCTTGACATTCAGAGCTTCAAATTGAGCTTAAACACGACTAGCCTAGCTTGATTTTGAAATTTGACTTACCAACCGCGACGCGACCGCAGCGCACTGTCAAAATTCAAATTTGAGCTAGACTAGTCGTGTTTGGGCTCATTTTGAAGATGTTGACGCGCTGAATTCCATAATGAAAACGCCAAATCAAAAAGTCGGCAAAATTGCAAAGTTAGGCGCAAGTGGCAAAATTCCAATTTTTCAAAATTTGATTTTTTGTCATAACT